TTTTTTTTTTTTTTTTTTTTGTCTGAACACAACAGGGCAATTGCACATATAAACCCACAGCACTTGTGACACCATACATAAGACCTGTGCAAACCTAAGCCAGACAAAAATGCAGCATGAATGGGAAAGGCGGGCAGGAAGCCCCAGCTTTAGCTGAGGCTCTATTGGCAATGGCAGCTACTGGGAGAGGGAGAGCCAGTTTTCTTTAAGGTGTAACACCAGGTAAGTTGTGACCAGACTCAAAGGGGATGGACTCACACCCAAGAGCATTTGGCAAATGCAAATTAGAACTGATAGGCCTTTAAAAAAAAGAAAACTAATAATAAAGAACATGCTATCAGTTGGGGAGTTAAGGTGGGGAAGGACAGAAGAGGGTCTGGAATGTGAACAAAATACATTGTATGAAATTCTCAAAGACTCAATAAAAATATATTTTAAAAACCACATTATTCAAGGATATTAAGCTTCATGAAAGCCCTCCTTCAAGGCCCATCAGAATCCAGTGCCTCCGCTATCATCTTCCCTCTAGCAAACAGACTCGCTACGGCCCATCAGTTCCATGGAGGCTTGTTCTCATGGTTTCCTCAGTTTCTGTTCCAGAGTAAATAGAAGAATTCATCTCTGCCCTGAGTTTTGAAATTCTCTCTCTCTCTCTCTCTCTCTCTCTCTCTCTCTCTCTCTCTCTCTCTCTCCCTCCCCCTCCCCCCCCCCCCCCCACAGTTTTATGAATCAGGAAAAGTAGAAGGTTGCAAATATGCTTTGAGAAGTATCCTACGAAATTCTCTAATGCAATGATGATTATATTTCCAGCTCTTGGGGCTAAAGTCTACAAAAACAATGAAATACAGGGAAGGCTTTTCGAAGTGTCTGATACAGATTGAGCACCCTTAACATGAGCTCTGATGTGTCTTAGAATCAGAAACTTTTTGAGTACTGACATGATGCTCCAAAATTTCAAATTTAGGGGACCAGCGAGACAGTGAGATGGCACAGCAGGTAAAGGGCGATTGTTGCCAAGCATGGCAACCTGAGGTTTGATCTCCAGGTACCACGTGGTGGAAGGAGAAAACTGACTACTTCAAGTTGTCTTATAACATCCACATATACACTGTGGTTCACACCTCTCCCACCTTGACACAAAAATAAATAAAATGCAACTGATTATTTTATTTCAGATTTTATGCAGGCATCTGTCAACAGAGGAACATATTTTATATACATACATCAAATCATATGGAAGTAGAAGTAAAAGCATGAAAAGAGAAAGGGGAGGTGATGGGATTTGAGGAGAACCTGCCCCACAGATAATATGTAATGAAAGCTTAAATGAATAAGTAAATAATAAAAAATAAAATATTTCTAGATAAAAATTTTAATTTGGGAACATTTTGGAGTTTGGATATTCTGTTAGGAATGTTCAACCTAAAGTCAAATCTATGCAGAGATCACAGTATCTGACTTGTGAAGTGTGAACCAGAGGGTCCCAGGCATTTTGGGTGAGGGATTCTCAACCTGTGTGTCCCCGTGGGGGCTGCAGGTGAGTCCTGCTGCTCAGTCATGCCTTGGCCTCCCACCTCCACTGGGGAGCAGGGAGCGTCCTGTGACTGGGATCCTGTCCCTAGGTCCCAGTTGTAGAAATCCAGTCTCTTCTGTCATGGTACAGATGTGAAGTAGGCCTAGATAAAGATTTGCTGAGCTGAGAACAAGCAGTGTTAGGCCATTTAGAATGGGACACTGTATTTCACTGTATTTTTCCCTCTGATTTACTGCTGCTGGTTCCTACAACCAAGCCTGCTGATGAAGCAGCCGGCAAGAGCCACGTCTGCAAGCCTAGTGTGGAGATCGCTGGACCTGGCTAATGCCAGGGAGCTGGGGCAGTGGTGGGGCTCACATGGGTGCACTCCACAGAGGCCATCTAAGTGTGGGCTTACATTCCTATCAGGTGTGCGGGGAGAAATGCTACCATGCTGTACACACAAAACAGTTGCTGGAGACCCTTTATCTTTTGAGAGGAAATATGTGTGGGGTACCACCAGGCAGAGTGGAACCCTCCCTTCCTCCTGAGGATGGTTATCCTCACAGTTGGCAATGGGACTGCAGAGGGAGATTCAGCTCTGTTTCCTGAAACTTCCAGTGGCAGGACAGATGGCTGTGGTTCTTGAAATTTCTGAGAGTTTTTATAATCCCACTTTTCCTTCTGTTCTTCCTGTTACTCCTTTTAAATAGTGATAGGAAAGTAATCATATGTCCTTAACCTGTGGGAGGCCTGTTCACTTCTAGGTAAAAAGTCAGCACCATCATATTCTTAGAAAGAACCTGTTCAGTGGCTGGTGAGATGGCTCATACTATAAAGGGCCTACGAGGACCTGAGTTCAATCTCTTAGTATCTATGCAAAAAAGCATGCTGTGGTGGTGCATACTTGTAATCACAGCACAAGGGAGGTGAAGACAGGTAGATCCTGGTGTTTGCTGCCAAGCCAGCCTAGCCTACTTGGTGAGCTCCAGGCCAGTAAGAGACTGTCTTAAAAAAAATAAAAAAAATAAAAAAAAGTGGAAGGTACCTGAGGAAGGAGGTTGTCTACTGAACTCCATGGGTAGAGGCTCAATAGCAGCTCTCTTTGTGGGAAAGCCCCCGTAGCTCTGAATATCTTTTGTGGCTTGGAAACCTCTCCCTCTCTCTTTCCCCATCTGTTCTCTTCCATGTCCTTTCCTCACTTTTAGCACCATCATCCAGGAGCCAGCAGTTATGGTCCTCATACATAGTGCCAACTTGTAAGCATTGATAGGATGAGGACTAAGGCTAATTCATGACCACCGGTCTCTTCGTGTGCTTTTGGGGCAGGGTCTCATGTAGCCCAGACTGGTTTCAAACTTAGTACATAGCCAAATCTGCCCTTAAACTTCTGACCCTCCTGCCTCTACCTCCTGAGTATTGGGATTACAATTATGTATGGCCATGCCTGGCTTGAGACTTCTTTTGCAACCTCATTTTCAGATGTCTTATTCAATGAGGACCGATTATCATCAATGTTAAATAAATGTGTAATAGAAGAATCTTTTATCATGTTGCAGGGTTGATCACTGATAATGCTGCAAGGGTTTTTTTTGTTTTGGGGTTTTTTTTGTTTTTTTTTGGTTTTTTGCCTTTTTTTTGTGTGTGTGTGTGTGTGTGTGTGTGTGTGTGTGTGTGTGTATTTGTGTGACTGATGAACTGACCAGTAAGTTAAAAGATGGCTGTATGGTACCTAGTAAACATTGCATTTGATTTGTGGAAGCACCCACAGTTAATCTATCACTCATTAAGATCACATCTCAGAGGTAGAGAGCTCTGTTGATAAGCACTTACCTGGTTGTCATAGAGACTGACATAACTTTCTTTTTGAATACCAGTAAAACAGCACAGAACTTCCTCATGGAATGGCGTGTGTCCCCTCCCAACACCCTACTACTGGCAACCATCAATCATATCTGGAGATGGAAGGGTTCCATGGGTCAGAACATGGCCTCCAATGTAGACCTCTCTGCTTTTGTTTCTCTCTCTGTATGTGGTAATGTTGGGCTTCTATGTTGGGGACATCACGGTTTCCTGTTTTTCATTCTTTACAGATATCATTAATGGAGCTCAAGAAAAATGTGTGTTGCCTCCCATGGATGGCTACCCCCACTGCGAGGGGAAAATCAAGGTAAGACAGAAGCTACGCCTGTTCATCCCATTACCTTCCATCTTGGGATACAAGTGAGTGCATGAGTCCCTGAAGCCAGTTCTTTCAGCGGTGTCTCCATCCTGCCTCCTCCTTGGGGCTGGTCAGCACCGGTTCTCACTGACCAGACTGAGACCTTGGGCCACTTGAGGTGGCCATCTTTCCCAAACCTCCACCCCACTGGTGATTCTTCAAGTTCCAAGGACAAGGAACAGTGTTTATTTAGCACCCTCCTTCCCTGGATCCCCAGAGCCATGCTCCTTTAAACCAGACTGTGGTGTAAAGGTCATATTTGCATATACCAGTGAGTGCCCAGAAATGCTTGACCACTCATTCTCTTTTTTTCTTTAATTTTTTTAAAAATTGAATTTTTACAAATTTCCTAAAATATATGTTGATCATATATTTAGACATCCCCCTTCCTGTATGTGCACCTCTCTTAAGGAGTCTTTGCACTGGATTTCATGTACTCTGTCATATATATTGACTCAAATTTATAGCCCCAAATGTACTTCAATGTGGGTCCATTCACTGGAACCTAGTTAACCTATTTAGCGTCACACTCTTAAAGAAAATCGGCTCTACCTCTCCCAGAAGCTATTGGTTGCCATTAGTTCCTTAGCTAGGGTTGGGGCTCCTTCCCCACTTCCCCACCTCTATGCTGGGATTTTGTCTGGCTTGAGCTTGCATGAGACTTGTGCATGTTGTTACTGCTGCTGTAGGTTCAGATGAGTGTCTGGAAAATTCTGTTTCCTTGTGGTCATCCACCACTTCTGCTCTTGGAATCTTTCCACCGCCTCTTCCACAATGCTCCTTTAGCCTTGGGTGACAGAGGTTTGATGAGGTATCCTATTCAGGGGCAAGCACTCTGCAGTCTCTTAATCTCTACACCTTGATCACTCATTCTTAACTCTGTGTGTGTGTGTGTGTGTGTGTGTGTGTGTGTGTGTGTGTGTGTGTGTGTGTATGATCAAACCCAGGACCTCCAGAATACCAGAAAGCTAGGCAAGTGTTCTACTACTGAGCTGCAGCCTGACCTTGTGTATGTGAGTTGTGCAGGTACATGTGCATGTGAATGTGCCAGTGGAGACGTGGTACCAACCTAAGGTGTTACTCTTCAGGCATCATCCACCTGGGATTACAAATGCACACCTGGCTTCCTGAGCTTGTTCTGTTTTGTTTTGTTTGTTTCATATATCATTTTGAAAAATACCACATTTGTATGGCCTGCCCTCCGAGAGATCATTCCTACCCAATGGCATTCAGAAAAAGGTTGCATTCAAGTCTCATTAAGAATGGTGAGAACAACCCTGGGACCATTTCCTAATGTTCTTTTGGGAAGTCTGTAAATGCTCACTCAAACTTTGTGGTACTTTGCCCTCTCCCTGAGCTCTGTGCCCCAGGTCCTGTGCTGTGGGCTGTGGAACTGTAGCCCTCAGAGGGTATTGGATGAAAGGAGATGGGAATGGTCTTAATAACACCCTCTGCTCTTCATCACTGCTGGTCTCTATTACACAAAGCTGCTGTGGACTCTCCAGGAGCTGAGCATCTGGTCACCTTGCCCGCAGCTCAGGGTCTCTCTTCTCTACCAATGGGACACAGTTTGAGCCATTCACCCTACCTTCCTTTTTTTGTCCCCTTGCCTCCTCCTCCACCACTTGGAACTGACTGCTGAGCAATGTCCTCTGCTCTTGTCATTTCAGTGGATGAAAGATATGTGGCGCTCAGATCCCTGCTACGCAGACTATGGAGTGGACGGAACTATCTGCTCCTTTTTTATTTACCTCAGTGAGGTGAGTGACTTCCTATGGCTCCAGATGTGTGTGTGTGTGTGTGTGTGTGTGTGAGAGAGAGAGAGAGAGAGAGAGAGAGAGAGAGAGATGTTTTGAGGCTGTCTTGCAGCTGAGCCTGGAGTTAGAAAAGCTGAAAAAGATGTGATGCTTTGACAAGAAGGACATGCAATTCCCTTCTTCTCCCCACCTCCTCAAGACTGTCTTCTTTCCCCTTAAAGGAAAAATAGCCCAAGTTAGCTGCTTGCATTGTTTGTTCCAAATTTTCCTATTGTAGTAAAAGACACATAAGACTTGCTATCTGTGTGTGTTCCGTTTTGTCTTTTTTTAAACTGTGTGTGTGTATGTGTGTGTGTGTGTGTGTGTGTGTGTGTGTGTGTGTGTGTGTGAGAGACAGCATACATGTGGAGGTCAGAGAACATCTTGCTGGGTTCTCTCCTTCCACCTATATATAGGTTCCAGACTTAGTGGCAAGTGACCCTGTCTTTGGGAACAAATCATCAGAGTATCTTCAGCCCATAAGCAGTGGGCTGAGACTGAGAAAGCGGACCCCTTGATGCATAGTCCAAAGAGTGTTCAACCTTGGGAGGAAGATGGCTGGAGTGCAGGGCCAAGGAAACATCCTAACAAGACTCTTTTTATGTCTTTGAAAACATCTCCTCTTCCTCATCATCAGTAGGTGTTTTGAGACAAGGTCTCATGTAATGCAGGCTATCCCTGAGCTCACTGTCTACCAAAGGGTAGCCCTTAATCTTCAGATCCTCCTCCCTCTACCTCCCCAGTCCTGGGATTACAGGCATGTACCACCATACTGTTTGTGCAATGCTGAGATCAAACCAAGGGCCTATGCATGCTAGACAATTTTTTTTTTTTTTTGGTCTTTTGAGACAGGATCTCCCTGTAGCCCCAGCTGTCCTAGAACTCACTATGTAGACCAAGCTGGCCTTGAACTCACTGAGATCTTCCTGTCTCTGCCTCCCAAGTGCTGGGATTAAAGGCATGTGCCACCACACCCGGCCCTGCTAGACAAATTCTTTGCTAACAGAATCATACTGTCCTAAATATTAGTAATGTATAGTCAAGTACTGTGAGTACAGTCCTCACCACTCTAAAAACTCTATACCTATTAAACTAACGCCCCATTCCCCTGACCCAATACCTAGCAACTACCCTTCTACTTTCTGTGTCTTGAATTTGACTTTTCTAGGTACTGCAGAAAAGTAAAGTCACACAGTGTGCCCTTTTGTATCTGGCTCGTTTCACTCAGTATGTATCTTCAAGGTTCATCATTGGAGCACATGTTAAAAGTTCCTCCCTTTTAAAAGCTGAATAATATTCCATTGTATTGTTTGCTTACCCATTCATCTCTCACTGGGTCTTGGGTTACTTCTCCTTTTGGCCATTGTGAATGATGCTGTTATAAACATGTGTGTACAAATACCCCTTCAAGACTGCTTTTATTTCCGTTGGGTGCATCCACAGAAGTGGAATTGCTGGATACTGAGATATGAGCCTTTTCCTGGGAGATGTGAACAATTGTCTACTTACCCTATATAGGGACCAGTGAACAGAGCAAAGCAAAGATTCTGCCACAGTCCAACTTGGCAGGGCATTGAGTTTATTAGGGTTATTTACAGGACTGTGGGTGAGGGGCTACTTCCAGGAGCATAGGTGACTCAGACAGACACATCACTGAAAAGCCCAACCCAGCATGGGTGACAGCTCACCAAAGCTGCATCCTTGGAACTCTTCACACAGTTTGAAGGCAGCTCAACAGGTCAGAGTCTCCTCTCCTCAGCAGTCCTTTGGCTTATATGGCCTTGGTGAGGGAGGGACCTTGTGAATCTTGTTTCAGAGGTTCCCTGAGACTTACTGAGTTATTTCCTTCCTGAGTCTCAAATGAATCTCCTTCCAGAATGACATGTTTCGATTCAGAGAGAACTGCTCTACAACACTGGATCATACTGTAAATCTCTTCTTAATTTTGTGAGGAGTTAACATACTATTTTTAAACAGGGTCTGTACAGGTTTCCTTTCTGAACAATAGTATACATAAGCTCCAAGTTCTCCAAGGCCTCATTAAGACTTGTTACCTTCCTGTTTCACCATCTTAATGGACCTGAAGTCTTGACTTGCTATTGTTTTAATTTGCATCTCCTTAATGTTGAGCAATATCGATCCTCTCCTAGGTTCATTGGCCAAGCTATCTGTGTCCTTACAAGCTAAGTTAGCTCCTTTTACTTTCTTTTCCTCCTTTTTATCTGAGCTTCATTTTCATTTGTACTCTTTAATTTGTTTGTTTTGCTTTTTATTTTGCTTTTATTTTTGTTTAGAGACAGAGTCTTCCTGTAGCCCCAACTATCCCGGAACTCATTATGTAGACCAGACTGGCCCACCTCTGCCTTTGGAATGCTGAGATTAAAGGCGTGCACCACCATGCCTGCTTGTACTCTTGAATTTAAATAGCAGGTTTATGAAAGGTTGCAGAGCTGTTGACAGACCCCTTAGGTGACTGGCCTCAGTGACCCCCATTTCACCTTTGGGAAGAATATGTTCGTAAGCATACAAGAAGCCGTAGATTTCATCCCCAGAACTGCATAAAATGGGGATAGTGGTGCATACCAGTAATCCCAACACTGGGGAGGTGAAGGGAGGAAGATCAGAAGTTGAAGGTACTCCTTGGCTACCTAGTGAATTGGAGGACAGCCTGAGATACATGACACCTGTCTCACCACAGAAAAGAAGAGTTAAGGTTATCCCTTGTGAGCTACAGGGGAAGAATGTAGAAGGGAGTTCGAACCTGCTGGCTGCCCCTTGTCCTGTGGACCAGGCAGCCTTAGGGACTGACTAAGCAGGTGCTGGGCAGCTTTGGTTGGCTCTCTGCTGCCAGTTATTTTGTTATTCTGCCCCATTGTAACCGTTCCCTAGTGATGTCCTGAGGAACAGCTCTGTTTTTCAGGCTGAATAAAACACTTGTGCTCTAGTTTTTCTTGTATAATCTAGGCACCTCTTTTTCTGTATCATAAACTGACTAGGACAAGTTGTTTGGTGACAAAGCCCAAATCATTCTTTCTATAGGGCCTGTGATCCCTGGCTCCTTTCCTACATTGTCATCCACCCTCTGTGATGATTAACACTGATTGTCAACTTGACAGGATCTAGAATTGTCTAGGAGACATACCTTTGGGCATGTCTGACAAAGGAGTTTTTTGGTTGGGTTAATTGAGTGGGAAGACCTACCCTAAGTGTGGGCAGCCCCTTGTGCTGGAGTCCCAGACTGAATAAAAAGAAGGCAAGCTGAGCTCCAACTTTCACCTCTCGGCTTTCTGACTAAGGATGCAATCCGGCCAGCTGCCATCTATTGCTTTGACTTCCCCAAGATGGTGGACTGCACCCTCAGACTATGAGCCAAAATAACCCTTCCTTCGTTAAGCTGCTTTTGTCAGGTATTTTGTCTCAAAGAAAAGTAACTAATATACCGTCTTTCCAAAATAGATCAAGGTCTCAGACCCCTTTCCCTGAGCACTAGGGTTTGAGCCCAAGGCCTCACATATATATCCTAAGCTTCTGTTTCCCACTAAGCCACACCCACAGACTTTTTCTTTAACAAAGGTTATATTCTGGGTATCAGGAGAACCCCAGCACTGATGACAGTTAGTTAATTAGAAGTACCTCCTGCCCTGAGGGGAAAGACTCTTCACCCTCCCACACACCCTTTAATTTGAAAAAGTTCTTTTCGCCCTATTCCTGGGATAGAGGAAGTCAGAGCCCAGCTGTGTGCCGTAATTGACAGGCAGGGCTCAATTTCACACCTTGCCAAGGGTTTGTAGACTGGACAGGACCGAGGAGATGACGGTGTTAGATTCTGCATTGGTTCCCCAGCCTCTTCTTCAACTCCTGGGCAGGAGCTGGGAAGATGTAGGGAAGTGGTTCAGATCTCTAGAATGACTCAGGACTTGGTTCTCTTCCCTTGAAACCACCTCCCTTACCCTCCTCCCAATGGAGGAAGGATAGAAGAGAAAAGTAGAGTTCTGGAGAGGATACTTGCAGGCTCAGACAGTCTAAATGGGCTTTTCATTCTATTTTAGAGCTAAGATCAAGTTACTAGTCTAATCTGATTGTGGTGCTTTGATTTCTGGTCATGTAGAAATGGAACTCTTCCTCCTTCCTCTGATAATTGGTTGATTGATTGGTTTTGTGTGAAGTAGTGTGTTCATGTGTGTACATTGGCATATGTCAATATTGGGTGACTTTCTCCATGGCTCTCCACCTTTCATTTTGGACAGGGTCTTTCACTGAATCTGGAGCTCACAAATTAGGCTTGACTAGCAGGCCAGTGAGCCCCAGGGATCCTTCTGTCTGCCTCCTCAGTGTTGGGGTTACAGGTACACACTGCTACCTCTCAACTCTTTTTTATTTTTTTGGGTGCTGGGGATCAGAACTCAGGTCCACATGCATATATGGTAAGTACTTTGCCATCTCCCCAGCTCTGTGTCTTCCTTTTTAATTGACAAAGGTTGCATATACTTATAGTATATAATTTGATATTTGATAAGCATGTACATTGTTGAATGTCTAAGCGAAGCCAACAAACATGCCTGTTACCACATATGTTTTGTGTGTGTGTGTGTGTGTGTGTTTGTGTGTGTGCGAGAGAGAGAGAGAGAGAGAGAGAGAGAGAGAGAGAGAAACACTTGCTTTTGACTGCTTGCCTCTGGATGAGATAGTGTGTTTGCATTTGTGTTGGGAGCTGGTGCACAGAGCCAGTCATGTGAAATTAATAGAGATGGTTTCCAAAATCAACAACTTCCTGTATTAGTTACTTTTCTGTTGCTGTGATAAAACACCATGACCAAGGTAACTCATAGAAGGAAGAATTTATTTGGCTTATGGTTCCAGAGAGAGAGTCCATAATGGCAGGGAAGGCATAGTGGCAGTATGTAGATGAGCAGAAAGCTGAACGCTCACATCTTCAGGTATGCATAGGGAGCGGTAGGCTTGTT